AAACTAAGTTACTAATTTACAACTACTAATCAGCACGTATCCCCATCAATAAAGTCCGAATGTTTTTTTGAATAATTCAAATCCAATGATCCGTGCTCTCGAATCGTCGACAAAAAATTGTATCCGCACATACATACATATATACATCATTTTTCTCTAAGATTTGCGAAAAATTTTCAGAAACCTTTGAACGTAAAGATATACGAAAATTTTCATTTCGGATTTTTTGCAATTACTATAATTTACTCTACGGGTAGTTATAAATAATTCATATTTGGCAAAGATCAAAATATATAGAAATATCTTATGAAATAAAATAAAAAATATTCAAATAAACATACTTTATTTGAAACTTACAAATACATTTAAATTATTAAAGTTATTCCTCATCTCGTTCCATTACCTTAATTTTAACCACAGTGTTACCATCTCCAATTGTCATGCCTTTTTATATATAGAATTCATTGATAAATTTCAATTATTCTTTCAAAATTCCATCATCACCAACGGTTGTAGCAATATCACGAAGTGCTGGACATTTTTTTCACGACATTTAGGAACTCCTTAATATTGCAACAAGTGGTTTGTCCCATTTCTGCATTTTTGTAGTTATCATAAGTTTTAGATTCTCAGCCCAAGCTAGATCTTCACAAACATTTCTACACATATTGGTTGTGGAACCTTCTAAATCGTTTCTCTGATTGATAAAGCAACGCCAGCTTTTTGGGATTCCCTTTCGTAGACAATAGCCCAGTAATATTCAGGAATTGGGAATGATCTCTGAGTTCTTTTTGTTCTTAGGTATAAATCTGTTAGTTTTCCTTTACTGTTTGTTAGTTGTGCAGGTGTTTGGGAAACTCCAGAAAATACTTCCAAAGTTCGTTGATGTTTTCTTAATTTTCTAATATCCTGTACCAAGTTTTCGAAGTTACCATATAGGACATTGTCCCAAAGGGTTATAAGATTATGTGCTCGTCTACTGACATCCTTGAATTGTGCGTGCAAATGCTCCTTGGGGATAAGGGATACAGTATACAAAACATTTTCACGTCTTACATGACCTTCTCCTAAAAGTTTAGTAACTACTTTATTGATCTCGTCGGATCGATATACAGATAAAATATCGACTGCTGACATGTATGGAGCAGGATCCAAATCCTCATTTTCAAGGAATTGTGGTGGTAAAGCTACTTTATAATGAGAATAAACAGGTATATTGCGATCTGTATCATAACAAGTTTCTGCCACTGTGGATAAGTCTTGAGAGCCTGGTTTGTGAAATTGATATTTAGCCAAACTGCCGCTACATTTTGTAGACAAAACAGGCTTCAGTTCCAAAACACGAAGTTGGCAAGATATTTCCGAAGGCTGAGCAGAATCATCCAAATTAGTGCATACAAGTAATTTTAAATAAAAAATCAATTATCTATTACCTCTACACTTTGTCCATTTTCATCCACCAGCTGACCATTTCTACAATGGGCGATGACGCTGTGAATGGTTTCATCTGTGATTTCATGCTGTTTGCATGTGAAAATCACACTATTTCCAGAAGGAACTTTGTATGCACCTTCGTGATTTTCCAAAAGTAATTCCGTTTCGTCGGCATTGTAAAGTAAAGGTCGGAAAGCGGCTCCTTTTTGTGGAAAAACTATGCTACATTTCTCTGAAAGAGAAAAGACAATTTGAAAAAGAGAAAAGACAACATTTGAAATGAGATAAAAGTAGGAAGGCAGTAGAAAAACGAAGTTGAAAATCAAAATTTGGGTTTGCGAGAATTTTTGCTAATTAGTTTAATAGAAAACATAAAAACTATAGGCCAGAAATAGCAATTGTGAAATATTGAGCGAATTTTCCTAAACAACGTTATTAACACTCTAAGGACTGATTTTGTACTAATATTAAAAATACCAAAGTAAATAATGATTAATGAAAGTTATTCAAGAACCTTGGAGTTATCCAGAAAATGAACAAAAATGATAAAATTAATAAAGAAAGTTATCCCAGAACCTTATAAGTTATCTATCAAATGGTCAAAAATAATAAAATTAATAAAGAAAATTATCCAAGAACTTTTGCGTTCTCCAAAAAATAACAAATAAAAAAATTAATATTTACTTATCGAATTCAGGCGCCAATTCTCGGATAAAATAGAAATGTCATCGTAATACTATGTTACGGGTCTATCTTCGTATGAGTTGGTAGTAACGAACTGCCAAAAAGTTATGTATTTGCTGTTCGATCTTGTGTTTTACACATAAAACCTAACCCACAAAACGCATAACGTTAAACAACAATTTTATCATAATGTTTTTTTGAAGTAAAACTTTTTTAGACGCGACTAGAGTGTAAATCTGTGAGAATGCAACGGAAATAGCGTTACGACCGAACTGTATGTCATTCGATTTCGATTAAATTATTTCAATACGGGTCGATTGTGATTAGTCGTCATGTCGCGTGAATAGAGATCTGTCGTTGTATGCGTACCGGCATCAACGTTGTATGCGTACCGATACCAACAAGAAAATCGACATAAATAAATAAACATTTTAAAGTTACATCGTAGTACAAATCTTGATTTAATGAACAAAGTCTGAATCAGAAGAATATTTTACCCTGTTTCCCGTAAATAATTATAATAAAAATAATCAAACAAATGTAACATTTGTGCCGTGTACTAAACGTAAGTTTATTGAAATAATTTCTATATTATTCGTAATTTTTACAAATTTTTGGAGTTATTAAAATGGAAAATATTTTTTAGGCAAGACAGATATTACAGTTGCTCAAAGAATGAGATTATATCGCCAGCGAAAAAGTAAAAAAAAAACAAGCAGTCAATGAATGTATGTTAGTTTTAATCACATGAAGTTCTTCAAACACAATTATTACATGATGATTGAAATTGTGAAAACAATATTTCATTAGGGTTGTTTAACATAATCCACTGTGTGAACGAATTTTATTGAAGTTATTAATCAGCAATTACTTCATTTCTCTAATGAAGTTTCAAGTCGTAAATGCTAATTACAATGACAAACCGATCATGTCATATTTGAAGTATGACTTCAATTACATTATTGTTTTCAAGTATTATAAATATTTTTAATGCTATTATAAATATATAATTTATAATTTATCATTATATAAATGTGTATAATGGTCGACACTAATAAATGTGTGCATCACGAGTGTTAATATATTACTAATAAACATTATTCAAAATGTATTTATTTTTAACTTAAATGCCATCTCGGACAATAGCCTAAAAGTTTTACTTCAATCGCTTGTGAACCTATAACATTTCTATTTTATCTGAGAATTGGCTCCTGAATACATATTTCTCGAGAATAGATTTTATTATTAATATTAAAAATATTATAGAATATTAATTTTTTTAAATTGTTCTTGAATTTATTGCTAAGCATTATAGTAGTACAAAAATATTTCAATTAAAAAATTATTATTTATTATTATTACATACCCTCTGCAAAAGTTGTTCCAACCAAAAGAGCAGAGCAAACTAATATACACACTGAATTCATTTTGTAGACTGTTATGATTTCTTGTCGAGAGCAATAATTTATAATACTGTCTTTGAGATAAGAAGATGAAATTATTGGAAATTATAATTCATAATAACAAAATCGGCGTAGTTTATATCCCAGAAGTGATATTCCTCGAGGAAATGTAAATTTTTGGGTAAATTCGATCTTAAATTAGACTATGGTTTGCATCCGAGATAAGTTTTGTATCCGTGTAAATTAAAAATAAAATATAACAGTGGTTAAAATTATTTATATATGAGTAATAAATTCTCCTATTTTGAAATTTTGTATTCCAAATAAACATCTATTTTATATCTTAGAAGTGGTTATCATTCTCAATTTTTTTTACTATCAAAATTTACCCAAAAATATTTCAATGTTTCCACATTTTCATATGACAAATTAGATTTATAAATATGAGACATTCAATTTGGGAGGATGTGGAATAAAATGTATGTGGTGTATAAAGCAAATTCCTGGAAATTTCCAAGATGGAATAGCTAGATGAATATTATGGCAACATCTTTTATTGCATATTGTTTAAGAACTAAATTTTTGCATACGTAAATTGCCCACGAAAAATTTACTTATCCAAAAATTTGGTTTTTAAAAAATAAATATCATAAAATGAGTTGCTATAATATTCATCTAACAATTCCATCTCGAAAAGTTCCAGGAATTAGCTTTATACACCACTAATTTCTCCCAAATTATTGAATGTCTCATATTTATACATCTAATTTGTGCACATATTACCCACATCCAATATTGAGTGTGGGTAATTGCAAAATTAAACTGAGTCACCATAATTCTCAAGAAACCAACAAGTGATTCAATTGGCCATCTTAAAATAGAAAATCTAAATTTATTTAGATGAATTCTATGGCGACATATCTTGTAATAATATTAAATAAAATAATAAAAATATCATTAGGACTAATTATTAAGATTGGCATTTTCTGATGCCTTGATTTGAATTTGTGGTCCTTTCGTCTATTAAAAAAATTTAAAGGAAAAACATATTTTACTGATTGTACGTTTCGACACTTGATGTGTGTCATTATTCAGCCAATCAAACCAGGAAAAAAGCAAAAACTTAAAGCACTAGCAATAGTTCAAATTTTTTGGATTGAAAAAAAGAGGGCAGAGGTAAAAAGATGCTTATTCGTGGCTGAATGATGGCACAAATCAAGTGTCGAAACGTATAATAAATAAAAAATATTTTTTTAACATTTTTCACAATATTCAAATCAACTTCTAAATCATGAACCATCCTTTAAAATGCCGAGAACTTGAGGTCAAAAGTTTATCTGTCGACTAAACATTTCATGTTTAATAAATGTATATCTACATTTTTTTCAGAAGCTCATTTGTTTACATTTCATGTAATTATTGTTTGTTTATATTTCTAGTAATTATGTTTAAGTGTGAAAATGGTAACCAGATTTTTTTAGTGTTTATCTTAGAATTAGATAAGGAAATATACCGCAGAAATATGAAATAAAAATTATAAATTTAATTTATTTGTACGTGGCGGAAGTTGCGAGAGCTTTCAGCTTTGCTTTTTAGTCGACTTGATCCGCGCTATGTACAACTTGATATCGAGCAGTAGTAATATTCAATTTCATAGATAGATAAAGCTCATTTTTCTCAGTCGATTATATTTTTTTCAGAGCTATGCAACATGCAGGAGAATGGTATAAACAGAATCGTCAGTTGAAAAGACAAAGTGCAGTCCTAGTCCAGAAATATCTCCAAATCAAACCAAATGGATCCCTAGATATAGACATAGATGGTTCAACGGATACAACAGGTGAAAATACAGACATCTTATATTATCAATCAAGATTTTTTTATTTAACTCCACAATTTCCTCTAGATGGTCACGACGATTTGGAAGCCTTGAGGAAAACAGTGACTGATATGAGTTTAGAAATTGCAACTTTACAAACTGAACTAAACAATGCAAAACTTCAGGAGTTTGAAGCAACTGAACAGTGTGTTAATTTAACACAGGTAATAAAAGACAATTGCAGAAATTTATATGTCATCATGGTTGTCTTAATTTATTATTTGACCTACACACTTTAAAAGCAGGGCTTCTCAAAGTCAACCAATTTCGAAAGTTTTGAATTCATACCCAGTAAACCACAAAAGTTGAAATAACGTAGCACTGAAGAAACATTTTTACGTTATTTATGGTTACGTTAATAAAACGTTCATATTACGTTTAATTATAACCTTAAATCGGCTTGAACGATAATGATTCGTTTTTGTTTATTACGTAACAGTTACGTTACACTGTTTCGTCAATTTAACATACAAAATGGACGGTTTGGTACAGCTATTTCACAAAACTGTCAAAAAGATAGGTAACGTGTTCTACACTTTTACTGTAGTTTAACTATAGTTTAACAAAAAGTCTTAATTCTTGAAAGTATGGGTTATTATTTTGGGATGTAGTTCTAAAAATATTTACAATTATGGATTCAAAGCTTAAATGAACTAAATAATAAAAAAATAACCACAATAATCGATAAATGGTTACATTTTCACTATTGCTCTTATTTGCACTTGAAAACCTATAATTTTCAAACTACTTGGGATAATTGTTTTTCTAATTACTATCAATACTATCAGCCCGTTTCAGCTTGACGTTGAATTCTGGGACACCCTATATATATTTATATTATTTATTTATTTAAATACATTATCTTTTCAGGAATTAGAACAAGAAAAGAAATTAAGAGCTCAATGTAACATCGAATTGGAAAGTTTAAGACAATCAAGAGATCATTTTGCAAAAGTTTCAAAATTAGTCGCAGATGAAGTAAGCGTTTTGCGTAAAAATGCCGAAAAGTAAGTTTATGAATCATTTTCAACATACTAAAAATCACAGTATTTTTTTCAACACTTCACTAAACTTATGCATACTAACACTCCAGGTCAATATTGTCGATTAAAGAAAACTCCAAAAAATTTGAGATATAGAAGAATAAATTTCAAATATTTTCTTGCAATTTCTTTAATTCTGATTTTTTACATAAATTATGTTTATTTTCTTATTTTATATTCAGAGAACGTGAGCAAGCTGAAACTATGATAGACGAAGCCAAAAAAGCAATCAGAGAAAGAGATGTTTTAGAAAGACAAAGTGCTTTGCTCATCCAGGATTATAAACATGATGGAGAAGAAGGCAGGATACTTAAATTATTGCAGGAGGTACATACATAAATATATTTAAAAAAATTATCATCGAGCAACTGTGTATCCGTAGTCCAAACAATCTGGTATTCGAGATAATCAGAGAACTCTGATAATTATTACAGTTAGAAATTTTAGTTCAGGATTCAAATATTGAAACCAATTACTATGTATTTTAACAAAATATACATTTCAGACAATTAATTTTTGAATGTCGTTGATAACCATTAAAAAATAGGCCATTATTATGCTCACAGAGTACATCGAAGATAGTGTCATTTCCCTGAATTTGATCAAATCATGATTGATATGATTATATCTTATAATTGATATTATTATATGACTTTTATATTTTTTCCCAGGTTGGTGAGCTCAAAACAATGCTCGAAATGGAACGAAATGACCATCAAAGTCAAGTAGCAGATTTGCTGGTGAGCATCTCTTTACTAAAATTTATTTAACTAATATTTAAATAAAAATTTGTACAAAGGTGTAGGTATTGTACAAAAGCATTATAAATGCAATGTATTACTAAGCATGGCCTATATATAATTATTGATCTATATTGCATGATTATTATTATTTGTATATTTAGTAATTTCAGGCTATTTGCTTTTAGCTATAATTTGTATGCACTCACAAAATGATATGAATGGGGGATTTGGTTTCTGTAATTCGAATCTGTTGTAAAAATATTATTGTACCTTATATAATTATTATTTGTATATACCAAGATTGAAATCTAATTTTATTATCACATCGTTATGTTTAAATAAATAATGCAACGGAATGTAAAATTTTAGATTCACATAACGGGAAGACATGGATTTTGTATAAGTATGATACAACGATAAAAATTTTCAAAAACATAACAACAAATTAATTTCACATATATGTTTTAATCTTTAGATCAGTGCTCATGATTAAATTATTAATTAAGGATTGCTACATATATCGTATAATATTTAATGTATAATGCAATTTTTTGAGGATATGATTGGTTTGTAAATATGCAACAATTAATATAAATTCATTAAAAATACCATAGCATTTTATGCTCTGATGTCTAGAAGTGTGCCTCATATTTTATTTTGCCAAAATATCCTTTTCTTTATCAGATTTGAAACTAAATGTATACAATCTACTTTTTTTCTTTCGCATTTTTTTATTTCTGAGACATTTTTTGTTTTTGAAAATAATTTTTTTTGTTATAATTTATTTTTGTTAATCAAGGCAATATGATTGCATTATATGCACCTTTATCGTATAATTGAATATGTCGTATTCATAAATAAAAAAAATGTATCAATAAAACGTATCAATCTACTTCCTTTCACATTTTTATTCACCTTAAAATTCTTATTTATTTATTTTTAGGAATATTATTGCAATTCTCATAATCATTATAACGAAAATGTTTGGAAAAATGAATTCACTTTTCAATTACGCTATTTTTTTTTTTTTTTTTTTTTTTTTTTTTTATTCTGCAATCTATAAAAATAATTATATTTAGCAGAGAATGCTGACAAGTGTTTACGCTATTTTAATCTAATCTAATGGAAAGAAGGCCTAATTAATGGAAAATTACAGTAACAAGTGTATTACTGGACATTTATTATTGAAGATGCAGAGACTTTAATTTTTTAATATAAGTTCGTTATTGCCGATAAAAACATTATTTTAAACTAACAGAGCGTGCATGAGTGCAAGAAAAAATCATTAGTTGTTAAACAGATTTCTAGTAAATTTTTCAGATACGAAAATATAAAAAAATCAAATGAATGAATGATTTTTTAAACTTCATTCATACAGCAAGTATTCCAAATATTTCTTCTTTTTCCACCAAAATTGTTTCGTAATATAAAATTTTCTCTCCGAACCAAATCCCCATCGCATCATTTTGTGGGAAGCTTCCAATAACATCTTGGCGCATTTCATACGATATGTAACCGCCCGAATTTCAGGAAAAATTGGAGGACAAAAGTATAGACCCCCAAATCGAAGTGTTAGAAGCCAAACTAAAAATAACCGAACACGAACTAAACGTCGCCATAGAACGTGCTGAACGTGCTGAAACCGAATTACAAAACACTCTTTCCGAAAACAACGCAAGTATGCAGACGGATAATGATGTTTTCGGAAATGGCGAAGAGGAAGTTGTTATGAGAAGGAAAATGACAAACGGAAATCAAATAGTCATGCCTCCTCCACCACCGCCGCCACCGGTGCCGAATTTGAATCTTGGCGCCAATAAAACGGAAATCAAAATCAAGACGCAGGCAAGCGCGGTTGCGGAAATGGCTGCCATGCTGGATATCAAACCAGTAAACGATACTCCGGCAAAAACAAAAAATGATAATGGAGGTATATACGAAAATAATATATACAAACATTTTTTCTTGGGGTTATTCAATTTAAGAAAAAAAAAACATGCTTTCGAATAAAATTAATCTGGCAGGGTACCAGATTCAGTCTAAATCGGTTCAGAATATTTTCTATTTGTAAAGAAACGACTCGACCGACGAATGATCAAATTTTACTCACATACTTTAATTCCTTGTAAATTTTGTTATGATAAAAATATTTTATGCAAAATAAGACCTACAACGATTAAATAAAAAAGGTAAATATAAGCATGCAAAACTTATTTTATACCACGTACATAAAGCATGTTTATATTGCTGTGCTATCATTATTGCTAGCGGCTTTGTAAAATTGATTTAGCAAATAAAATGATATTAGGCCCTTTTGAAATTATTATATTATATAAAGTTTATTACAATGCATGCAATTTATATATTAAGCAGCTGTCCCAAAAAATATATGTTCAATTTTTTCTATCAAAGGAGTCTTGTAATATCAAAGAAGGTACAACAATAATAGCTATATCCAGTATAGGTACTTAAAAATTTAATAATCTTTTACTTGAGAATAGTTAAAAAGTGCATTTCCGATAAAATACCTATATATTATAAATATTTTATTAAAATTTTAATAATTTGAAATGCGAAATTAATGATAGCACGTAGCCACAAATTAAAAAATTGTAGCAAAGAAAAGTTTTTGGGCTGAACTATAAATTTGATGGTGTCCAATAAGCACAAACACTATTAAAAAAAAATTGATACAGTGAAGGTACAAAAATGCTTTCTATTTGTTACAACTTATATGAAAAATTACAATTAGCATTACACTCAATTATCAAAGTAATTATTACTGGAAAATTTTTCCAAAAATAAACTAAACTTTTCGGTTTTGCGCAAGGGCTATAAGGTAATAATAATTTGTATCACTGTAAATAATTAAAATATATTAACTAAATATTTAATAATTTCATATATTTATTATTTATTTAATCGGTGATGGAATACTAATAAATATTTGATATCGAACTAATCAACAAACCCTAAAAATTCTTACATTTTTAAGTTGCTCTTCGAAAATAAAATTGTACACATTTTTGTCTAAATCTTAAGGTAATCATTGTATTTTTTTACCCAGGAATTATAGATGCCATCGTGGATCAAATAAAAGGCGGTAGATTTAGACTGAAATCAACCGATGTGCAAAATAAGACAAAAACCAAAAAAGAAGAACCTGCTGCCGTTAAAGAAATGTTAAACATTTTGGGAACATTGAGGAGGACCAGGGGGAAGAGGTCAAGTATGAATACAGGAATGCGCTAATTAATGAACAAATATTTTTAGAATATATTATATCCCTAATTCTACGGAACAGAATAAATCTGTAATTATCTGCTTAATTATAAATTATGTATAGCCATTTGTTGGTGATAAAACAATGCAACTAATTTTCTAATTACACAATAAAATAACTTGAGTGTTTTGCATATTAAAAACCTATTATGCATGTAAAATCTTACTGCACTCAGAAGTACCGAATAAGTTTTCAATATAAGTTGCATAATATGAACAAAATGGTGCTAATATTAAAAATTTGGATATGATTTTTTAAAAAATAGACCTATATATGAATAATAATCATAAAATAGAAATATCCAATAATTCACTGAAATTATGAATTACGAACATTTTATTTTAAAAATCTTAGTAAATAGTGCAAAATGAACATTTTTGAGGCCTTGAAGTTTCAAGTTTGTATGTAAATATTAATTTAGTTTAAGATTGATTTAGATTAGATTTTGATAAGATATTTTATAACGCCAGTCACACAATAATACGTATTATTTAATAATATGTATTGTTTACGTATAAACATTTTTCCAAAATATATTCATCAATTGCATATTATCACATGTAAATTACGATTAGATAGTTTAAAAAGTCTATTAACTATTAGAATATTATATAATTAGATTTATAAGAAAGTTTATGAAATAACTGTTAAAAATAATGTTTTATGTAAATGCAATGATTGAATAAAATCATGAATTCTGTAATAAGATATATATTATGTATAATAAACTTAATGAGACACATTTATAGTGTTTTATATAGAAAAACAATCACATTGTTACAACTACAGTTTAGTTAAACGTAGATATCAAAATGGATAATACATATGCTTATAATATATCACACATGATGCTATATTTTTGGCAGATATATATGAATTGGTTAATGCAAGTGATATGTAAAAACACATTTTAGTTGTTACTACTAAATTATGTTTGAGAGAAGTCGAAGATTTAATTGATTTCAAGGTAATATTTTGTTTAATAATCAAGGTAAATATTTTGTTATAATTCCAAATTTCAAATTTATATTTAGTTTATTTCACTGATGTTGGCACCATTGTCACAAGAAGTGACAGTTTTCCAAATTGCTCGCTGACTTTGTCTACTCAGGCAATACTACTTTAGTATTTAATTTTAATATAAACAATCGTAGGCACGTGTGCAATCTTTGTGATATTTAATTAAATATTAATAAACTAATTAACGATGTCGAATAAAAAACCAGCGCTAATGAATGATCCTAATAATATGAGTGATGAATCCGATAGCTCAGATGAAGGTTCTGATCAAGAGGTTTATTCTGGGCATGAGGTATCTTGACTGATAACCTATATTTTAAAATGTTCATATATTATCTATGTTTCATTATATGTTACTGCCTTTAATTGCTTAAAATCATTATGAGTTATAGATAAATTCAAATTAGTAATTTTGGACTTTGAAATGTTATTTCATTTTATTTAATGAACCGGCGTTTTGACTGTCATGTGCCAATCAATGTTGCATAGGGTTGTGAAATTAAACATTTTTGGATTAACAGGATAATCTGAATAATATAACTGAGATAAAATGAGAAGTTCATATTATTTTCATTTGAATACAATTAACATGCATATAAGACTTTTGTTATGAATTATCACTTTATTAGTTCATGTTTTATTTATGCAGGAAATTCAAGTAGACTTTGAGGGTCGAAATCCTACCGATAGTGACTTTCATGGAATAAAGCAGCTTCTGAATCAATTATTTTTGAAAGCTCATATTAATTTATCAGAATTATCGGATCTGTTAATTGGTAAGTTATAGCTTGTAATATCTTGTAAATTACATGAAATATGTAATTATAAGATTAGATTGTGAGATGAAATTTTTCCAATATGGCACAGGAATGTTATTATCATAACATGGTTGTCTTAGCAAGTTTATTTAGTTTTATTATTATAAATATTTGATTTGTTTGTTTTCTTGTTCCAGGTCAAAATTACATTGGTAGTGTTGTTAAACAAAGTGACGCAGACCCTGATGAAGATGAAGATGATGAAATGACTGATATAAATGATGTTTTTGGTATAACAAGTGTAATTAATATTACCCAGAAAAAGGTAAGTGACTGCATAATTATGATTCAATCATTTTAGTTACTGTAATTCAGATTGCTTATATATGTTTATTTGCTTATTATCATATGCTTTGGATTGATGACAAAATTTCATTGCATGTTTTATTCATAAATTAATTATATTAACTATTTCATCATTCTCTAAATATTATTACAGGAAAGTCATTTCCTAGTATTATTATATGTAAAAGTACCATGAATTCACTTATTACTTCTCTCTTCAATTATTCTTACATTAACTTTATATACATACCTAAATACCTATTTTATTACCAAATGGCACACCAAATTCAATTTTTTATATCTAATTCATAAATTGAGTGCAAAGATAAACTTTTTTTATTTGTATCATTTAAAAGAACATGTGCGACAATGAAGTGAAATGTGTTTCTGCATGAACCTTATATAATTGCAATATTTAACAAAAGTAATTATATTTATTTATTCATAATCAGTGTATCAAAAATCAAGAAATTAAAATTATCATGAATCATTAGTCATTCTCATGTAAGTATTGGATCTTTCAATCATGAATATTTTACAGAATTTAGAATGTGTTCAACAATTACGCAAACTTCTTGTTGAGCTTGCAGAACAAAATGCAACGGATACTACTAACAAACTAATTCAAGACATCCTTAACGATGAAGAAAATTGCACCGGACTTCTGATAAACGAACGTTTCATAAACATTCCTGCACAGATTTCAGTGCCGCTCTTAGAGAATCTGCAAAGCGAAATCAACAGGGCAGTGTCAAAGAAAATGCCATATAAATTTGTATATTACATTTTGATATGTAAATTATACAAAAATGAGCAAACTAAAAAGAAAAAGTCAAAGAAATCTGAACCTGATGTAATTTGGTCAAATCCTGAGGAGGAATACATTCTTCCTGAAGCCTTAGCTAGTTTTGAGTTCTCAGTAAAATCAGAAGCCGATTCTGGTTTAGGAGGTGATTGGAAAGAAGGAGACAGTGAAATGACACCATACAGAAAAATTATGATTTTGCGAGCTGATAGCTTACCGAGGATAATTGAAACTATTAAAACACAAATGAGTGGCACAGCCTAAGCATTTCCAAACATATAATAGATTACATTTATATAATATGTAATCCTTTTGAGATACATATTTTACTCATAGGCGATTGTTATTTATCTTTACAAGTTTGGCAAAGAGGGTAAAGAAGCAGGTGACATGTTTTGTACACATTTCTGCATATATTCATTTGCAACTATCAAACTCTTTGTTGATCACATTTTCAATTTTTAGGGAAGTTCACTTTCCTAATTTATAATGAAAATATTGATGATAGAAATGGGGATATGAAAAAAACAATCTCAAAAGGATTAAACATAAATCAGATAATTTGATGGAAGTAGCATTCATATTCAGAACTTTTATTGAAATCACATCCCTAAAATAACATACTGTAATCTAATAGGATGATAGATAACATACTGTAATCTGATATATTTACAATTTAAAGTACGATTTAATTACTTTCTATAATCAGTTGTCAACCTTCTTCTTTTTCTTAATCTCTCTTATTATCTGATTTTTGTTATTTATATGTGCATTAACCAATTCTTATATATCTGCCAAAAATATAGCATTATGTGTGATATATTAAGCATGTGTATTAGCCATTTTGATATCTACGTATAACTAAAATGTAGTTGTAACAATGTGATTGTTTTTCTATATAAAACACTATAAATGTGTCTCATTAAGTTTATTTTACATAATATATATCTTATTACAGAATTCATGATTTTACTCAATCATTGCATTTACATGAAACATTTTTTTAAAAATTATTTCATAAAACTTTTTATAAATCTAATCATATAATATATTCTAATAGTTAATAGACTTTTTAAACTATCTAAATAAATTGATGAATATATTTTTGAAAAATTCTTATACTTAAACAATACATATTATTAAATAATATATATTATTGTTTGACTGGCATTATAAAATATCTTATCAAAATCTAATCTAAATCAATCTTGAACTAAATCGATATTTACATACAAACTTGAAACTTCTCAAGGCCTCAAAAACGTTGATTTTGCACTATTTACTAAGATTTTTAGAAGAAAATGTTCGTAATTCATAGTTTCAGTGAATTATTAGATATTTCTAATAATTTATGATTATTAGTTTTTTGTAACATTGAAAAACATTAGGACTTATTGCATATTTACAAGAGCCTTGTAATATCATTCTTTAAAACGATTGGTAATAAATGTGTTGTCATTCAAATTATACTTACATGGAATAAACCTGAAACAGCAAATCCAATCCACGATCGAAATAATAAACGTTTATTGCACTCAAATGTTTGATTTGAATTTGAATTTTGCTGGCACTATTTTGTTTAATAATAATTTATGCGAAAATATACCTATTTTACATTATTTTTAAGATTTCCATCATTAGTTCATGATTAGTGAAAAACGTCTGCCACACAGTAAAAGATATCAAGATTATATTAACAAGAATTTCATTGTATCTATTGCATCCTTTTTTAGACCATGAATAATACTCATTTATATTGTCGTGTTTATTATTAAAACAAATAATTTAATACACTAAACAATTTTATTTGGCAATTTTGGATTTAATCCAATCGACATAATGAGAAACTCTTGTGAATACATCAGGCTTGCCGACAGCGCAAGGAATGCCCCAGGAAACAATTCCATGAAGTTGTCCATTGATGACTAAGGGGCCACCGGAATCACCCTTTTGGAAAAATATTCAATTAATAACTATTTTTTTAAATAATATATAATTAATAATTTTAATAAGAATATAACCGAAAAATATGAGAAAACTTTTACTGTATATTTTTTGTAAGACTTACCTTACATGCACCCTTGCCCATATCTGCAAAAGTGCATATTTGGCTATCGTGGATTGGAATCTTATCCTCATTAAACATTCTTCTGCAAACACTTTGGGGGATGGTAAATGTATTTAATTCCTAAAATATAAATTATTAGAAAGTGAAACATTACAAGACAGAATGGTAACTCTGAAAATTCATATTATCTACCTGTAAATCATTAGGTGGCGGTGAATCTTTTCCCAATCGTCCCCATCCAGTCAAACGAGCATCCTCTCCGCCTCCGATATATTTATCTTCAAATGGAATTTTTTGCACTTTATCGCTGAATTTATTTTATTCCGAAGTTTTACAAGTGCCAAATCATTTGCGGCAGTTTGTTCATCAAACTTGTCAGTAATAGTTTTTCTATTCTATATCGTTCACCTACTTCATCCAGTTTATTCACGCCGGCAACGACTTCAAAACGTTGTCTGAAAATTGAAATGCAATCAGACTTGAAATGAAAATTTATGGGCAAAATAGTCATGATTTATAAAAATACGAAATTACATATTTAGGATATTTGTTTCCTCTAACTACTACACATATTTTTTTCTATTTTTCTATTTATGGTACAAGATATATTACAAATTCACCCCATGCAATGAGCAGCAGTCAAAACCCAATAATCGTCAATAATTGCTCCTCCACAGAAATGTTTGTTTTCAGCATTTCGAAGTGAAACTTGATAGGGCACCGATTTTTCTTTAGCATTTTCACCACCCACGATTCTCCAGCCGATTGAAGACGCTGGGGAAAAAATATGTAAATTTGGTTCAATGCATAGGATACAATTTTATGTACTATTTTGTAGTTGATAAATAAAGTTAAAGGAATATAAAAATTAATTTCTTTACCTGATGCGAATTCAATGACTGCTAAAACGATCAGTACCTTCATGACTTCACTGCAGTTTCTACACTTAAACTGATAGCGCATTTAATTCAATTTTATATTTAATTTAACGATAATAATTGAGATAAGTTCCACTTATATTATCTAACAAATAGGTAAATCCCATATAACTCTCATTTGAAATGAAATTTTATCATAAAATATTTTTTTGTTCCTGGTCAAAAGTTCAAAGGTGAATCAAATGGAAATTTCTTCGATAATGTAAGATTTAAATTATAAAAGAATTGTTTAGATTATTTTTAAAAGGAAATAGAAAAATGAGTATTATCGAAAAAAAAAGTTGTATTAAATGTTATTCATAGGCAGCAATTTTTTATCAGAATACTAGCTGACCCGGCAAACGTTGTTTTGCTAAATAAGGTATATTCTAGACAATTTCTAGAGAATCAAAAATATTAATACTTTAAGTGTATAAGGATGTGTTGTTTGAATGCTATATACAATGAAGTATTATAAAAACAATAAACCCCATTGGTTCCGGATAATCCGAAGTCCGGATAATCCAAAGTCCGGATAACACGAAGTCCGGATAATCCGAAGTCCGGATAATCCGAAGTCGGGATAAACCGAAGTCGGGATAAACCGAAGTCCGGATAATCCGAAGTCCGGATAATCGGAATTCCGGATAATCGGAATTCCGGATAATCGGAATTCCGGATAATCGGAATTCCGGATAATCGGAATTCCGGATAATCCGAATTCCGGATAATCCGAATTCCGGATAATCCGAATTCCGGATAATCCGAATTCCGGATAATCGGAATTCCGGATAATCGGAATTCCGGATAATCGGAATTCCGGATAATCGGAATTCCGGATAATCGGAATTCCGGATAATCGGAATTCCGGATAATCGGAATTCCGGATAATCGAATTCCGGATAATCGAATTCCGGATAATCCGAATTCCGGATAATCCGAATTCCGGATAATCCGAATTCCGGATAATCGAATTCCGGATAATCCGAATTCCGGATAATCGGAATTCCGGATAATCGGAATTCCGGATAATCCGAATTCCGGATAATCGGAATTCCGGATAATCGGAATTCCGGATAATCCGAATTCCGGATAATCGGAATTCCGGATAATCGAATTCCGGATAATCGGAATTCCGGATAATCGGAATTCCGGATAATCGGAATTCCGGATAATCGAATTCCGGATAATCGAATTCCGGATAATCGGAATTCCGGATAATCGGAATTCCGGATAATCGGAATTCCGGATAATCGGAATTCCGGATAATCCGAATTCCGGATAATCCGAATTCCGGATAATCCGAATTCCGGATAATCCGAATTCCGGATAATCCGAATTCCGGATAATCCGAATTCCGGATAATCCGAATTCCGGATAATCGAATTCCGGATAATCGGAATTCCGGATAATCCGAATTCCGGATAATCGGAATTCCGGATAATCGGAATTCCGGATAATCCGAATTCCGGATAATCCGAATTCCGGATAATCGAATTCGGATAATCCGAATTCCGGATAATCGGAATTCCGGATAATCGGAATTCCGGATAATCGGAATTCCGGATAATCGAATTCCGGATAATCGGAATTCCGGATAATCGAATTCCGGATAATCGGAATTCCGGATAATCCGAATTCCGGATAATCCGAATTCCGGATAATCGAATTCCGGATAATCGGAATTCCGGATAATCGAATTCCGGATAATCGAATTCCGGATAATCGGAATTCCGGATAATCCGAATTCCGGATAATCCGAATTCCGGATAATCCGAATTCCGGATAATCCGAATTCCGGATAATCCGAATTCCGGATAATCCGAATTCCGGATAATCCGAATTCCGGATAATCGAATTCCGGATAATCCGAATTCCGGATAATCGAATTCCGGATAATCCGAATTCCGGATAATCCGAATTCCGGATAATCCGAATTCCGGATAATCCGAATTCCGGATAATCCGAATTCCGGATAATCGGAATTCCGGATAATCCGAATTCGGATAATCCGAATTCCGGATAATCCGAATTCCGGATAATCCGAATTCCGGATAATCCGAATTCCGGATAATCGAATTCCGGATAATCGGAATTCCGGATAATCGAATTCCGGGATAATTCCGGATAATCGGAATTCCGGATAATCGGAATTCCGGATAATCGGAATTCCGGATAATCGGAATTCCGGATAATCGGAATTCCGGATAATCGGAATTCCGGATAATCGGAATTCCGGATAATCGGAATTCCGGATAATCGGAATTCCGGATAATTCCGAATTCCGGATAATCCGAATTCCGGATAATCCGAATTCCGGAGATACCGAATTCCGGATAATCCGAATTCCGGATTAATCGGAATTCCGGATAA